GTTGTTGTTGTTGTTGTTGTTGTTGTTTTTGTTTTTGCGTTTCCCAATCAAGCGAGACGTTTTGAATTTCAGAGTTATGGCGGTGCGTGACATAAAGTTACGAACGCGTTTGTCGAAAAACATATACTTATCAGGTTATTTTAGTATTAGTATTAGGAAAAGTGCCTATGTAATGCTTGTTTGCTCAATACAGATGATCAGTCGCCTAGATAGCCAAAGCAAGTTCCAGATGTTTACACTATTTTCCGGCCGCAATGTTGGTTTACGCGGAGGTACACCAACATGGCGGCTCCATACTGGGTTCTGTGAATTTGTGCAAAATATTTCGACGAATATCTGAGGTTTGGGAAAACGCACAGACTTAAAAATTAGTAAGTGCCATCTTTATTAATTTCCTATAACATCACAATTTCTTGAATTTATCCACTATATGGTTTTCGAATAATTTTTTTATTGCATCAGGATTGCGTGACAGCGCAAGCCGAGAATTGTTTTGCTGGGGTCAACATACATTAGTTTCTTTCAGCTTAAATGTACAATAATTCGCTACATGGGTTTCATTGATAAGATAATAAAGATGGTGAATTTTAAGCTCAGTAATGAAATGTGAAGGTGAATTAATCAACATGACACGAGCATGGGACAAATTCTGAGTCCCTGACAGGAATCGAACCCATGACCTTCCGAACACCGGGCGGACGCTCTATCCACTGAGCAACGAGAACTCATGGACAACAAGGTCTTTTAACTGAGTTCATATATGACAGGTGTCCTGCATACTGCTAGGACCAACACTATTGAAGTCATCGTGAGTAGTGATAAGTGAATAAAGATGGTGAATTTTAAGCTCGGTAATGAAAATGTGAAGGTGAATTAATCAACATGACACGAGCGTGGGACAAAGAAAAATTCTGAGTCAAGAAAAATTGCTACAAGAAAAAGAAAAATTGCTACAAATTTCAGTGATCACATCTCTACATGTACCTGAGAATAAAACATTACTACACAGCTTGCCGTATTGCACTGACCAACGTTCATGTAAACAAAGTTCATCATCATCAGCATCATCTTTTATTTACCACACCATAAATAATAAAAAATAATAACAATAACAAAAGGCAGCGCACCCAAGAATCCACCGAGCAGAGCAGTGAAACGGCAGCTGAGCTTCTTATAGCAGAGGCCACCTCAGTTGTTAATATGTTGTACAGTTGTGACATGATTATTGATATTTTTTGCACCCATAATCTGACAGCTCAAGCCTTGCATTTCAAAGGATGTATAACTATCAGTCACATTAGCCAATGAGTAGTAGTTGGATAAAAATTGATAATGATTATGTAAGCTCAGTTGTTCAAAAAATGAATGACGCTTTTTACAGGATGTAACACTAAGCAGCTCATGTCTGTGCCTTTACATAGAGGCATATCAGATTGCAAAATGACTGGAGACTGTTCACGAATATACTGGTAACAATTCTGGTTAAAAATAAGCTTGCAATCGTGCTATTAATACCTGTAGTTTTAATATCAAGAAAATATCCTAAATAAAACAACTTGAAACAGAACGGCTTGCAAACGTCTTTAAGTTATGTATGGTCAAAACGAATGTTAAGCTTCCAAAAACTGATAAAAAAAACCCCTTAACCTTAAACAAACTTAAGCTTAACTTAAAATCTTACGCATGCATAAATCGTAGGTCTCGCAGTACTAAGAGGTACATGTAAGCTTACGTTGACCTACAATAGCCTTTTGCCGCCGAGTTTTACAGTATTACTTTGTAATATCACGACCAGATTTACTTTGAAAACTGTCAGCTTCGCAAGATCAAGTTCTAGTCAACGGAAAACTAAACGAGCCATAACATACTTGAGGGTTCTAGCATATTTTACTCCAACCTCGAGACGAAGCCATACGCGTCGAACACACGCTGGAGTAGACGTAAGACAACGCTTCTTTTTAAACACCTAGCACGAACAAAAAATCCTGAAATCGCTAGTAGATCGAAAATTGATCCTACTTTCAGTAAAATCGTACCTTTCAAGTCAATTATCCTGGATTTCCTATTCCAAAAATATTACCAGCTCCAGCAACCACAACCTTATTGTAGTGACTAATGAGACGACTGTGTACAGTCAGCGGCGCTACGTGAAGAAGTAGGTGCTTCATGTAAAAAGTAATTTGTGTCCCAATGGTCGCTTTCTTTCAAGGGAGAGTCAAAAAAAGAAATAGTAGCCGTCTGAAGGCAGGCTATTATATAGAAGCTTGAGACCTGTATTGGTAGAACATCCCGAAGTCTTTCATGTTTTTAGGACCAAGCGAAAGCACGTCCGTTCGCTCTTCTCCCTTCTACCGGGCGTCTTTTCCGCGCCTGTATGCTACAAAATTATAATATGTGACTCCAACTTGCGTCAAACAACTCTAAGATCACAGCGAGATCTCACTTAGTAATGTCGTTAAATATGTCGGATTCCCTGCAAAATATCTTGAGAGAAGCAGCGGATCGTCTGATTCAGACGGCCGAACATTTGGGAAGAGTAGCTTCAATGTCATTGACGAATTCTGCGGCTGAGATGACCCCACGTTTGCCTGCAACAAGCTCTGTTGTCACTGCGGGTGGCAATAATGAGCCCTTCCTAAGGGTTTTAAGGAACACGGGAACAAGAGCATTTATTTTTAGAGAACAGGGGATATTGTCAAATTATTTTCAGGGAACAAGGAAACTCCTGATTAGATTGCTGGGATCAAGGGAACACTAAAATCTACTTTCAATTATATATTTTTTTTAAACTTTCCCAACCCCTACTATGGAGGCCCTGTTAGGGGTTTTAAGGTTAAGGGATAACTGGTAAAATAATTATTTTACCATAACTGTCTAATTTTTGGCGCGCTGATTTGCTCATTTTTATCATCAGTAAGAGTACAGACGGAAAAAAAATTTAATTTATGCAAACTTTCAAGTCAACTTTCAGCTGTCAAACTGTCAACTTTTTAACCATTGAGATTTTATGGACTTTTTTAAGTAGCCAGTCAAAAAGCGAGAAAAGCTATTGACAATGTTGACGTCATTTTGAACGAAATTCACTTATCTTTTTTTACGGCAACCTTACGGCGTCTTTTCCCCTCATTTATTCCCGGCATTTGACCATTTTGGGGTCTTGTTATTGTAAAAAACAAATTGACGTCAGTTTTTTTATGCGTCTGCCCTCTTATTGATGATAAATTACGTCATAACATGGTCAAAGTTTACTGCGGAACCACTCCACTACGGCTCGTGGTTCCACACTGAGCCATTTTTGCAATGTTATGACGAAATTTATCATCAATAAGAGGACAGACGCATAAAAAAAATTGACGTCAATTTGTTAAATAGATAAGGGATAACTGAGATAGTTTTAGGGATAACAAAAAATAGCTTTGATTTCTCATCTGTCACACGTTTGGTCACTTTAACCGAGTATTTGCATCACCGGCGACCGGTAACGAACAGTAAAGGGTCTCTAATTTATCAGTTCAAATTCAAGCAAGATGGGTCAGATGTCCAAGATTTGTTCCCAGGCTCAGCATGACCACTAAGGATTCTGCTGGAACGTTGCCCGTGAACTGTTGTGAAACCAAAGCAGGCCATCCAAAGCCGGTTGATTTTGCAAGACTTGCACAGACAGCGCAAGAGATTTCTTCTGACCAATCCAGCGCGCCAGAGGTCTTTTTTTTTACCTTCACAAATTAAAATTTGTGAAGGTGCCATTGTTTGTGTAAGGAAGGGTAGCCAGCCTCCGATACAGCCATCACCTTTCTATCTGGCCAGACTCAACGAGACCATGTATGCTGTTGAGAACCCCGCAGTGAAGGCTACTTATTATGCACAAGATCCTCTTTTACCCTTTCAATTTGTCGAAACAACTACAACTGGTCAACTCAAGACAACCAGTGAACTCTGTTGCAAACTATAAGAAAGATGACGATACAATTGTTCTTGACGATAATGGTTACTTCTGACTCCTAGTGGAGTCCCTCGACAGTGGTGACACTAGGACTACGGAAGAAGAAGGAGCAAAGAACGATGAAATTCAACCAGAGGATGACACTCCGCAAGTTCAACTAGAAGAGGAAGGCGATCAGCTAGAAACTGAAAAATCCGACTTCGTCGGGAATGGTCACCGACATTCAGTACAAACGCGAAAGCCAGTTACCACACTATTATCAATGACAGCGAGTGCAGAGAATTTAGTGAACTTATCGGATCTCTTGGCAAGTGTACATGTATGTAGTTTGTTTTTGGTATTCAAATGCAAGGTAAATTATGGCAGTTCGTATAGTATGATCGTCCGGGTGAGTGTAGTTCTGAAAAGAACTGTTGTTGGTGACTGACGTTTCGACAACCTGAGCGTAAGTCATCTTCAGAGTCAAGTGAATAGTGTTTGTCAGTCGATGGTGTTATAAGTCTGGTCCGTTGAACGGACCAGACCTATACTGACCAATACTGACCAATCACGTTCAACGGACCAGACTTATAACATCATCGACTGACAAACACTATTCACTTGACTCTGAAGATGACTTCCGCTCAGGTTGTCGA